AAAAAAAAAAAAAAAAAAAAAAAAAAAAAAAAAAAAAAGTGAAAAGAACCTGTGAGACAGATAGGCAATGAGGAAACATTCTAGGTTTTAGGCAAGAGATGGAGGTGTCCAGATTTCTATATTAGACTGTTGCTCAGGGAGCAGTGCGGAGGCTGAGTTGAAGAAACCACGGCTTGGCAATGTGGAGACCAGTAAAGAAACCACTGCAATAATCCAGATGGAGATGAGAGATAAGCAGTTAAGTTACTTGGAGTGTTAAGGAGCCTAATGTAGAATAGTCTGCATGTGCAGGTGTGGAGATAAGGGGGAAATATTAAGGGAGTAGGGGAAGATTTTAATAGGGAAGCAGAATATGTGGAAAATAGCAAGGAGGTTCAGTGGGGCTTTGTCTTTTAGGAAAGTGACCATCTGAGATGACTTAGACATCTGGCCTGAGTAATGTCATTCACTCAGGCGAAGAATACAGTAAAAAATAATACAGCAAAAGGAACATTGTGAACGTAGGAATGGGAGACACCCGAGATGGTGACCGCACATGCTGTGTTTGAGGGAGTGGCCCTGAATAAGTGGCAGTTCAATATCTGGATCAGGAGTGAGGGGAGGGTGTAGAGTGGTGGAGCTGGGGAGTGAAGGGCCCATGGGTTACTGGTTTTGTCTTGATTAAGGGAAGGAGAGATATGGGAAAGAGCAGTCTGGGTAGGTGAGAACAACTCAGACCTCAGCAGTCTAAGTAGGCAGGGTTGAAAGGCATATTCCTTGATGATGTCCTGCTCAAGCTTGTAATTTGACTCATACCTGGTACCCAAGGCTGATTGTATATCCAACCTCTTAGCCAATTAGGGGTGACTTTAGGACTCAACCTGATCTCTGTGGAAGGGGACCTAGGTAGACAAAGAACCCTGCAGCAGCCGTTGATGGCAATCTCGGGGTCTTGTCCAATCAGAGCATGGACGTGAACTTGCTACTGCCTCTGCCTGATTGCATATATTCATATCTATTTGGTTCCTGAAGGGAGATATGAGTACAATATAAATGAGCTCCGTCTTCTTATTTTTTCATTGTTGCCCATTCCTGCATCAGCAGTCTTCTGGCCTGTGGGGCTCAAAGCCAAGACAACCCTTTTCCTCACTCCCTAAATCCTGCTACCCTTAAGTCACATCATTTCTGGTTCTTATATTTGTCCTTCTCTTTCCATGTTGATTGGTATAGCTCTAAGCTGGAGGGGTATCCCCACTGTGTGAAGTGTGAATCCTCTCAAGATACTTCATGATCTTTTCAATTTGGAAGTCAACAAACAGTGACCTATGTGCTAATCTGGCCTTCCATGTATGTTTGTAAATAAAGTTTTATTAGAACACAGCCACATTCATTTATTTATATATTATCCGGGGCTGCTGTTGAACTACAGTGACAACATTGAGTAATTGCGACAGACTATTTCCCATGAAACCTAAACTGTTTACCAGTGTTTAAAAGCTTTACTTTTTTATAGGAGAAGCATCTCGGTCTCTGTTCATCCTTCCTTTATGTGAGTGCCGATTAGAGTCCCTAAAATACCATTTCACCATTCATTGCTGAGAACCATGAAATGATACTGCATGGTCCACACAATAAAATCCAGGCTTCTTATTCTTGCATTCAAGACCTTCAATGCTAGTCTGGTCTTACCCAGTCTTTTGAATCATCCCAGTTAATTTCCTCCGTAGTGTTCTTAGGATATGCAGTACATAACTACCCTTGTTCACTCAACTGAAATCCGACCCATTCTTACAGGGTAATTTGAAATCCACATCCATCTTGACCATTACTTTCTAGTGACCATTGACAAGTCTACTACTTCATCCTGGGCCACTACAGAACCCGTCTGGTAATTTTCATTCTGATCAGGGAATGGTTCACCACTATGATGATGGGAATTTTCCATGTGAACGTAGGCACAGACGTGGAAAAGCCTAGGAAGGATTTGGAAGTAACAAGACACGTGATTAGAACACATTTAACATTTGTGGAAGTATTGAGTCATCAACATCTTGAACCCACGGCACAACATATCTAGTTCTAGGTGTAAATGTAGATGGGGAGAGTGGATATGATCCAGATATATTTACACATTGATACCCAATAGTAAATGTATTAGGCACTAGTAAAAATAATTACAAAGTAAATGCAGGACAGCTGCATGCTATGGTGGTCAGTGGGAATTAATTCTCTCGAGAGTCCGTATAACACCTATAACATACAGTAGCTTGTCCTGAGGTCCTGGCTTATCATGTACTACCCCTGAGATACTGGATAGGTGGGCTTTTCCTATTGGTCCTTACTTTTCCCATATAATGTCATATAGTATATGTTCTTGGACATACTCTGGGACTAAATAGCATCCATATGCATCCCCAGTTGGAGTCCTTTGATAAAAGGCAAGTTCCTAAAATAGTCACGGGTCTCATTTGGCTGTGCTATAATTTCATTGGTTTAAATATTCTATTTTAGTGATTCACATTATGAGCTAATATTCCTTAAAGTCTGTGCATTGCATAACAAACTTTGGTTATAATACAAATGATTATTCCCTTGATTTGAACAGCAGTAGTCCAGTCACATCCCCAGAACAGCAAAGCTTCCATTCACACACGGCATGACAGCCAGGCTTCTGTGTCATTGTATTCCTCAGGATTCGGCTGTTGTGTAGTTTAAAAAACCACTGTCTTGCCTGACAAGATTCTCCCTGTATCTGCGAGTGAAGGAGAATGACCCGGTGCTGTCTGTACACATCTCAGTAAAATACTCCTGTACACTTTGGGAACATTGCATTAAAAGCAAGCTACCGTAAAGGCAGGCCTTTCTCTTCTTACAAGTCACATTCCCGTGACATTTACTGTCTGCACTGGAGAAGTGTGGGGAAGAAAAATATAAAAGTTACAGTGGAAATACCAGGAAACTACATCTCTTTGAATGCAGTTTCTAGGCATTCCCTAGAAGTAAACATGTAGCAATAAGAATAACAACAAATAATAGCAATTGAGTGCTTTATTGTGTGCGAGGCATTCTAGACCATTGGCCTATTTCATCTCATTTAATTCATGTCCCAGTCATATGGTTTGGGTAGAGCTATTATCCCCATTTTATGCAGGAGAAGAGTGAGACCCAAGCAGGGAAAAGAGCTTTCCAGAAGCTACACAAGTAGCAAGTGGTAGGGCTGGGAGTTGGACCCAGACTTCATATTTCCCATAACCTCAGTGAGCCTCGCCCACATGCAGTGCTTCTCCCAAGGCTCCTTTAAGCAAAGCCATCCCTCTCATTTGCATTGTCAGACTTGCCCAACTGCATGATTTCTCCCACCCAATTTGCAATTGCATCTTATTACTTATGTACATGATTTTGACCAAAGAAGTCTAACCCTGTCTTTTGGATTGAGACATATTTATTCTTTGTCCCCAGATTAACACTGCAAGCACAGAGCTGTGTGTGTGTGTGTGTGTGTGTGTGTGTGTGTGTGTGGGTGGGTGCGTGTGGTATGTAAACTGTCTTTTCTTGTGGATTAAATTGTTGCAGCCTGGCTGAGTGAGGAGCATCTCTCCCACTGGCCAAGCCCACCGCAGACATGTTAGGAGACTGCTGCTGCTTGCCACACACCCAACCACGGCGGGGCAGGTGACGCTGCAAGTGTGCCCAGTGTCTCTGGAAGTGACTGCACAGATGTGTGCCGCTTCTGCTCCTGCTCCCTGCCTTCACATTCCTGGAGCCAACACCCACCCACTCTGACAGCCTCTCTCTCTTTCTCTCTTTTATTTTCAAGGAAAAAAGAAAGAGACAGACAGAAATAGAAGGCAAACGACAGCAGCTTGAGGAGCAGGTACTCCTGCTGCAGCATTCCAAGGTAAGAGGCTGATCCCACGAACCCGTGCTGCTATTAGCCATGCAGCTCACACTCCAGAGAGCTGGGCAGAGCCTGCCCTGCTGCCAAGGCGCTGTGCCGGCTGAACCAGCCTTTTTTTATTCAGTCAGGGAACCATCTCTGGGCTTTTCTTGTGAATTTCTCAGATCCGGGACATCGTTACAGCATTTTGATTTCTGCAAGCACAAGATTACAGTGTGCATGAGGAGGGGTGCAGGGTGGTTTGTGCATGTGGAATGTGGTTATATATAGAAATCAGATGAGAATACTCCACAGTCCAGAGCTGGTTCTCTTGTGCATTGGCTCAGAGGCTGCACAAGACACATTGCACGTAATGTACTTTTAACATTTTAAAAATATTAATATCTTTCTTGGCACAGGGGAAAAGGAAGATAAAAATATAATCTGGTAAAAAGAAAAGACACTGTGTATTTCAGATGATTATTTTATATCTACTTTAGCAATTTCGGAAATGTCAGAAGCAGCAATTGGTCCAAGATGGCTTTTAAATGATTTGACTTGGTTGGGTCTCCACCATGCTGTATTAAAAAGAGAGAATGGGAGAGAGAGCTCTTTTATTTGTTGTTTCTTTTTTCCTTTAAGACGTATGCACTTAAGCATTGTAATTGATTACAGCCCAAGAGAAAGCTCTGTCACTTTCACAGTGACTCCACCGGTTGCTAAATGTTGCTTTCTGCATGTTCAGAGAATAATGTGACCAACCACCTTCCACGGCCTGGTGGGAGTTGCCGCTTGCCTCTGACTGCTCCTGGGCCTCTTTTTTAGGAAACCTGTCTGTTACTAGTGTTGAGTTGCTGTGACCTTGTGTGTGCAGAACTGCTTGTCTCAGAGGTTAGGAAGGTGGTACTGACGCACAGGACAGTGCCACGTAGGAACTATTTGGACTTTTAAAAACAAGGTGAACCTTTAAGGTTGTGTTTCCTGTCTGTCTCTAGAGAACAGGGCGGTGCTAAATGAATGCTCAAAATGAGGATTGGGAGCCGTCTAGTTCATGATTTCACACAGCAGCATGACCTATATCTGCTTAGCATTCTTTTCAGTGTACCATGAACTTCAGCTAGAGAAATGTGTTTAAAAGAAGGAAAAGCAGCATATGATACTGAGAAAAGCATCCGTTTCTCTCTGCTCATTGCATAAATCTGTTTTCAGGCCTTTCTCTGTGGAAGCCTGCGCTGTATCTCATATGCTCTTTCTCTTTCCTGACAACATTTCTGAGGGAGGGTGGATGCTCAAATTAGTATGCTTTTCTTAAAGACAGGAGGGGTGTAAAAACAGTAATAAAACTGAATGAATTGTTCAAGGTCATTCTTGGACAGAGCAGGGCCTCCGGCTCCGAGTGCCGTCAGTTCACTCCTGTGAGAGACCAACATGCACTGATACCTCAGTAAATTATTGGTTAAAGGGCGAACTTTTTAATAGGAGAGCCAAATGAATACGAGAGGCTGGCTTTGACTAGAAAGCCTCTCTCCTCTTCAAACTCAGGGTAGTTCTCTGCTTTTGTATTCCTTGAATCCAAAGTTAGTCAATGAACATATGTCAGAAAACCAAGTTCTTTTTCTTCCAATTCTCATCATTCTGAGTGCCAAAGAAGATACCAGGGATCCCTTCATTACTGATGTCCAGCACAGGGTTATAACAGTCTATTCATATTCCATTTATTGATTCTTCATTTCTGTGTCTATTCTTTCATCTGTCCGTCCATCCATCTGTCCAGCCAGACAGCCAGTCAACAGAAAAAAGTAATAAAAATGACTTACTTTTGCATATGAAGGCAATGATGTTCCTTTCATGACTTGAAAACAAGGGAATCAGAGTTCTTTCTGGGACTGGCTATCTAAGTGTACACGCAGCACTCTCACCACGGTTAATCTTGGGGTAGGGGGAGGACTGGAAACTGTTACAATTTTAGTAAGCAGAGACCTAAACATCGCTTTTTCCTCTCTCTGAAAAAGTCTTGTGTGTACAGAATGAAGATGGATTGTTAGCCTTGAACAGTGAAAAAGCTCAGAGGCTCCCAAGGTGGAGGTGTATATCTGGTACTCACTACAGGGAGGGCCACCAGCTCTGGGTTTTTCAGCACTATGGAGTCAGGGTCGGTGAACACGGCTAGGACAGGCGTTTAAGCCTCGCCTAAACCCAGGCAAAACTTGCCTTGTGGTTTTGCCTCTCTTTGTTCTGGGCACATGTTCCCTAAAATGATGGCACTATTTTGACAGAAAGAACAGGGTGCCTGGTTGAAAGAAAAGATCACTTCAGGCACCTGAAAGGATAAATATGTTCTACTTTCAAAGCAATGTGAATAGACTGTCTCATCTTCCCAGGGAGAATTCATTTTCCAGCTTGGCCTCATCCCCTGAAGGAAGTCCGTTTATTGAGGTGATATTTCCTCCTCTCTGAGATTCTCAGAGCCAAGCGGCTTTTTCCAGGTTGTGCTGCAGCCTTATGATCTTCTTCTCCCCTCTCAGTAACAGTCACCAGATTTTTGAGTACCCAGCGTGTGTTGGAACTTTAAATATGTAGCCTCGGTGGTGACCCCGGATAGATGTTACTCTTCCCATCTCAAAAATATGAAAACAAGTTCATGAGTTCAAGTATTTCGCCCATAAACATTTTGTGCACGTGAGTGGGGGAATCCGACCCTAGGGCTGTCTGCTTTCTAAGACCAGGCTCTTCTCAAGATGCTGTTTTCACTAAAGGAAATATTTCCTTTTGAACAATTTGTCTAGAAAGATGCCAATTGCCATCATCACTTTCTCTCTTATCCTTACTATATTTTTGTGGATTTCAGAAAATTTAGACCCTGTCTAAATTTAGACATGTCACCAAGATCATTATAGAAAATATATCACTAATTGATATTTATTTCATTATCTTACAAAATCTAGGTTGCTTTCATACAAAAAAGAAATCCTCTCAAAGCAAAGATAAATGGAAAAGCATTAGCATGTGGGGTTTTATATTTGCTATTTACTATTCTCAAAATCTGGATCTACGTTCTATATCTGTATTTCACATATAACAGTCATATGATTGTTCACAATTATATGATTGTCAGTTATATAACTGCAGTGAGATGAATTATTTAGACAGATTCACTGGTCTCTTCGCAAAGAAAATAAATAGAATGTAAGGCACAGCTTTGGCACTTACAGATTAATGCACCTGCTCACTACAAAATTTAAGAATATACAGTAACTCTACAGAATGGAATATCATTGCTTTAAATATGGACCACGATGAACACATTCTTCAATGAAGAATCAAAGTATGAAATGTTAAAATATCAGCTTCTATACCCCAGTAATGAAGAAGCCTTAAGCTGTATTAGTTCCTGACTGAATTAAATTCAGATTTCTTTTTAGAAGCTGCTTAGCTATATTTCGAAGTTAATATTTTTTTCCCAGCTTTAATTGAGTCTATTGGTACATTTTAGGGATACAGTACAGTTACATTCATTGTTGGGATCTTGTACCTCCACATGACAAGTCTTAATTCTCATTTTTTCCCCTTACCCCTGCCATCCCTTCACCCCCTCCTCCCCTCCCCATCTACAAACACTTTATTTCCATCTTTTTGGAGTTAATATTTTTGATGGAAGAATTCCTAAGACATATTGACAAATGCAACCACTAAGCAAATATGACAGTTGTATTATTTTTATTATAAAAGTAAGTAATGTATGGTCATTGTAAAACCTAAACTTAAAAGTACAAGACTTGTAAAAAAAATCAACTTTATACTTATTATGTGATATGACCCACATAGACATATATGATTCTATACTTTCCCCCAACATATTCCTTTAGATTAAGATATTTAATCCTTGTTTCACAGGCCTCATCAGCCTGTGGATAATATAAAATTGTGACTGCCTTTAACTTTGTTCATGAGGTTTTTAAAAATTCCTATACAAAAATTATTAATTTTTATGAAATCATATCTAGTAATATTTTACTTTATAATTTCTGACTTTTGTGTCATTCTCAGAAAGATTTCCAACTCAAACATTTACTTATAACGCTTCTACTTCAGTAGTTTGTGTGTGTGTGTGTTGGTATTGTTTGTTTGTTTGTTTGTTAGTTTTTTGAGGCAAAGTCTCACTATGAAGTTCAGGCAGACTTTGAACTCACCATGTAGCCCAGGCTGGCCTTGAACTTGCAGTGATTCTCCTACCTCAGCCCCACAAGTGCTGGGATTAGAGGCGTGTGCTACCCTGCCCAACAACTTTAGTAATTTTAATCCATCTAGAATTTATTTTCCTATAAGGCTCATTTTACTTATATTGAACCACTTGTCTCAACATGATTATTGATTGACTCGTCTTTTCCCTCACTGATTTAAACATCATCTTTATCACATACATATTTCTCCCTTATACTCAAGTCCAGTATTTGTGGATTCTTTTTATTCCATTAATCTGCCTGTTCCTGCACCAGTACTATTCTTGTTTGATCCCTGTAGCCTTTTAATACATCATTTCATAAGGCAAGAGCCATCATTATTCTTCTTTTGAAAAACTATCTTGGCTTTTTATTCCATAGGAACAATTATTTATTTTTATTGCTTTTATAATGTGATTTGCGATAATGTGAGTTTTAAGAAAATAAATCGACTACTGTCTTGTGCTGGAACAAACTGAACTTAATATTCCCTTCTGTCCCTCGGTTGATTTGTGTGTTTTATGGGTCTGTTCTAAGTCCCAGCACAGAGTTTGCGCTCTGTAGGATTTGCAGTGTGTGTTCCTTTGGGACTGCCACATTTATAAAGGTTTGTCTGACACAAGTCAGCACTGTCAGAATCAAACTGCTACTAACACAGCGTCGATACCCTGCCTTTGAATTACTTATTCATGAACGGGGGAACCAGACCAGAGTTTTCTTCCAATGCAAGCTATGAAAATTGTTGTTATATTTTAAAGAGATGGCTGAATGAAAAAAAGACTAAGGACTGCATTGCAACCTGGCAAAATATTTATTGTCAACCCAGCCAGGTCATGTGCTGAATAGCCCGAAGGTACCAGGAGCCTTGCTACAAAGATACTACAGTGTCTTTCTCCGTTTTGGACCTCTAGTACTAATTTTAGACTTTTCTTGGTTATGAGCATGTGTGAAAGGCGAATTTTAAATTTTGAAATGTTCAACAGATAGGAACGGCACTATACATCTCATCCTTTTTCCTATCGCTTCTCCCCTGGCCCTATAAACAGCTTTAGTGGAAGTTAAAATTTCACTTCTTTCAGCAACAGAAGTCTTGGATTGGCTTCTCTTTGTGTGAGGTGAATTATGTAACAAAATCTCAAGACTGAACCAAGATCTTGTTGGGCATCAGAGAGGAAGAAGGAAAGGATTAGAGGGTTACAGAGAGATGGGATAAATGAATGATTCAGAAAAAAAACTGTAGAGATGTATTAGTAGTCCTGATTCATATTTTGTTTTCCCTCCCTGTGCATCCACTGTGCCCAGTCACTTTTCACTATTTACTTGTGTCAAAAAATTGCTTCACATCATTACTTTATCCGTAGGTGAGAAAGAGCTGATTAAATGATCCAAAAGCTCTCTTTAGCTTTATTAGTCTCAGATTTTATATTTGCTAAATTGCAGTGCGTATACATAGTTTTTCAATAATTCATTCCTTTGACAGGTATTTATTATGACTAGCTACAACCTCACATGCCATTCTATTCATGGAATGAATAAAAAGATACGGCACCTACCTGACTTTAAGGGATTCAGACATGAGAGGTTGGGCCATCCATATGGAACCCACTGTTAGAGAAGCTGGAACGCTGTTCTGCACGTTAGGAGAATGGCAGCAGCGCCTTTGGTTTTGTAGATCTTACTTGGGTGGTTTTCGGCGCTGAGCCGCACACATGCTCACTGAATGCACACATTCCACTGAGCTCCGTCCCTGGCAGAGAATGATCCTTGAGTGCTCTTATGCAGAGGCAGGATAGTAGAGAGTAGCCTGCCTTCAGTTACTTTGGCAGTACAGTTAACAATACCTTGGGTATGAACGAATCCGTGTCTTTAAGTCTATATTCAGAAGGTATTGGTCCAGTGTTATAGATCTGCCTCTGCACTATAAGAATAACTGAACAGATCTCTACAGTGATTCATAATTAAAAGACGAGAAAATCACCAGGGAAAGCCATGGCTGGCTAGACACCCACTGATGATGCATGGCCAACAAAGAGTTCATCCTTGGAAGCACAGGAATTGTAGCAGCATTGAACTTGCTTCTGTGGGTCTAGCAGGGTCACCATGGTGACGAATGACAGGCTGCTGGGCTTTCTCTGTGGAATGGTGAATCAGGACTATTAGTAAAATCTAACTTACTATTACTTTACATTGGTAACTTTTAAAACTCATTTTATAGGTTTTTAATAAGTAGCCCATAATCCAACAGATAAATGACAGTGTGTGGAATTATGTGCCAGTTGTTCACGAGAGCTACGAAAAGTCCACCTGAAGCCTACCTGCACTGGCTCTGAGTCACAACAGTCGCTCGCTTTGCTTTCCCTTACTGACCTGACTAATGAAATCAGACAAAATTCTTGATAGCAGCAACACCAGAGATTCTGGGAACCTGATCCTTACTCCATGTTTATTGGCTTCATAGCCTTTATTCCTATTGCTGTGTTGCTATAAACGTGGGTACACATATGTTTCTGTGGTATGATTCTTTTTAATCTTTTGGGAAGATGCCCACCGGAGGGATGGCTGGGGCAAATGAGACTTCTAATCCTAGTTGTCTGAGGCATCTCCACATTGATTTCCACAGTGGTTGCACCTGTGTGCACTCCCACCAACAGTGGAGAGAGGTTCCTTTCTCCCACAGCATGCCTTTCTTTTGAGCTGTTTTCACCTCCCTTCTCACACCACTAATTGTTCTCTCTTAGTCACTGACCTGAAACAAAACTTTTTACTCCATTTCATGATCTGTTAGTGCCCTGGCACTGGTGAGGAATATGATTTTAGTGATATGGAAAAGCACTGCTGAGGATGTTTAGAAGTCACTAAAATGTTTTAAAGAAGAAGCATAACAGCTTTTTAAAAGGAACATTTAAATATGGACTGGCTATTACTAGGGCAATCGGGAAATTTTTGCAATGGAAATGTAGCTGTGTAGAAAAATGTCCTAGTTTTTTAAAGTTGTCTGTTTTTTATACTGAAATATTGGAGGGTGAAATGTCGGTGTTTGATATATACGTTACAGTGCATTAGTGAGAAATATAAAGGAAAATGTAGCAAATGTTTACAGTTGTTAGATCTAGAGAAGATTATGTGGCATTTATTGTAGTTTACTCTATTTTTTTCTATTTAATAATAGAAAAAATAGGCATTAACAACGTATTCAACGTGTGTGTGTGTGTGTGTGTGTGTGTATGTGTCGATGTTTCTCTGTTGTCTCTTGACTAAAACAACAGTTGTATAAACAACGTGTAGCGTGTGTGTGTGTGTTTGTGTGTGTGTATGTGTCGATGTTTCTCTGTTGTCTCTTGACTAAAACAACAGTTGTATAAAGCAGGATTTTTGTTTGTTTGTTTTGGCAGCCAGACTAGTGCTGGGTGTACAATGGGTTCTCAGTAAGTATTTCACTGAATACAAAGAAAAGATAGACCCAAATCTCAAGCCAAGGAGGAAGGAAGGCAGCCATTTGGGTGAACCCTGGTGAGGGACAGAGGTAAAGGAGCAACCCGGCAGGTGCAGAGGCAAGTATGAATGGAAAAGTGACATCTTGTCTGTTGTCGTCTCTCATTCCCACAGTCCAAAGTGCTTCGGGAAAAATGGCTGCTGCAGGGTATACCCGCTGGAACGGCCGAGGAGGAGGAAGCCCGGCGGCGACAGTCTGAGGAGGATGAGTTCAGAGTCAAGCAACTGGAAGATAACATTCAAAGGTAGGTCGTTTCCAGCCCTGGGATGCCATGGGACAGAGCCACTGTGCAGTGACCACTACTGTCCTCTAGGGGCGTCTCTCGGAGCTGCTATCTTTTCCCAAAGTGCTGCAACTACTGTCTTTAACAGGACACACTGGTATCATTTAATTTTCCCATATGGCCTGTGTCATTACTTCGAGTTCTAATTGTTGTATTGGCCTGTAGTACAGGCCTGTAAAGTGTGGTGAGCAGCTTACATCTTCCCAAAATGCCTCTTGCTGAGTACCTGTATCAGCTTTTGCCTTTTTCCCCTTGGAGCTAGACTGTTAGCTGTCGTTGCTGCTATAGGGAGTCCGTTCATAGATTTGCTACATGGCTACATGTGGTCAGTTTGAAGGGGGAAACTATAGCTGACAGTCTTGGGATTGAAACTGAGAGCCTATGGGGAGGAGTTGGTGAGGGCTCCTTTGTAGGTGTCTTGTCTGGCTATGCAGCTCGACTTCGTATTGTCTGCTTGCTTCCTCGTGTTTGTCACATCCAGGTCCTGGCCAATTCATTATGGGAGGCAAGTGTCCTATGGCCAATGAATCCAGGCTCATCCAGGAGCAAAAGCGTAGGTTTGCCCTTAGGAACTGTTGCCATCTTGGGTCCCAGGACACCTAGCCAGAGACTGGACCAGGGAGTGGAAGGTGGCCAGCATTGGTGTCTTAGTGCCCAATTTTCCCCTTTGACACACACCGCCAAATTCTGTCTGAAACCCTGCCCTCAACCCCAAAGGCGTTCTTCAGCCTCCGTCCCTACTGTACCTAGGTCCTAATGTCCCCTAAAGAATATTTAGAGTGTTAGATCAGCATGGCTAAACTATGCCTGCGGGGAGAATGGGCCAAGGAGAAGCTGGGGCAGGGGAGTTGCACATATACACACACATAAGTGGACGTGTGTACATTTTCTTAGAATGCCAAGAAAGACTACACCCATACCATATCATGCACAGACACATATGCACACACATACACATACAATGCACATACCCAAAAAACATATATTTATATATGAGAATGAGAGAGGTAGGAGGGGGGGTTATTATAGACAGAAGGTAAGAAAAAGGATTTGGGAAATAGCATACAGTGAGTTGTGTGGCCTTTTCTAGTTTTTCTTGTCGTCTTCCAATCACACTGGCAGTTTCACCTTGGCTCAGTACACATGTGTCAGTATGGTCCAACAGGTGTAACTCTCCCCACAGGCTGAGCCCTCTGACTTGCAGGCCAGAGTTCAGGGTGGGGACTTGGTCCTGGCTACAATGACCACTGGACTGAGGTGTAAGAATTAGGGGCTGACACGATGAAGCATAGCTCCTCTCCCAGTGCATGCGCCTCTGCTAGACCCTCACTGGACAGGAGGCCCAGCCTGTGGCCATGGGTCCTAAGAGCTAGAGTCTCCAAGCTCCACTGAGGCCATCCTGAGCCCCATGGAGGAAGGAAGGTCCTGTCCCCTGGCTGCCACCACTGTCCTCCTCCACCTCCCCAAGGGCAGTGATTACCCCTTATAAGGCCTGGGCCAGGTTTCTTGCTGGTCCTCTACAGGTTTTAGCCAGCCAGCCCTTTCCCCTTCATGGGGCCTGGCCTGGGAGGGGGCTCGTTTTCCTTCCACAGCCTTCTCCCCCTCTAATACAATTTCTTGGTCCCAGCAAGTGAAGGACTCGCAATGACCTCAGAGGGGTCTGGTCAGCCACCCCCACCCCAAAGGCAGTGTTGGCTCCACAGGGTAGATTGGGGGACACTGCTGGGAGCCTCCAGATATTGCCCACCCGGCCTGCAGAGGGACAAGGCCTGTAGTCTGCTGCTTCTGCAGCAGCCACCCCACATCTCTGCGGAGGCTCTGACTCAGGGACTCTGTGGGCCCAGCCAGCCTGCAGCTGCTTACCACGGATCCAGCCTCCTCACAGGATTAAGCACAGCTAGGGCGAGCAGGAAGACTGTACATATGTAAATGTGCACACATGTGACATGTACACATCACAGTGCTGTGGTTTTGTATGTAGCAATCATGTAAGTACATGTATGGATTATGATATGCATACATAAATCTATAAAAGCATATTTTAGCACATCACTGCTTCTTTTGAAAATAGCCTGAATAAGAATAAAATGGATTTCTACAGAGAAAGCATTAGGTACAGGTGGGCATGATCATACTCAGAAAAATAAAAGAAAATCTCTTTTTATCTTTGAGTGAAGAGAATAAACAGCTCACTCAGTGCATGCAGGGAATCACTTTGAGCCCATTTAAGAGGAAAATATCCAAGCCAGAAGGAAAGAAATCATAATAACCTAAAGGAATGAGTGGTTTGGTCCAGATTCAGGGTTGTTTTCTTCTTGCCTTGTCATGGCCTTGCCCCGTGTTGGCCTAAAGGGCTTTGGATGTGTGCCGGGGTGTGGGGCAGGCTGCCTTCCTGAGGCTACTTTCAATAAGCAGGGCTGCTGCCTTGGTTACTTTTCTTGTTGCTGAGACAAAATACCAGACACCCAAAGTTGGAGGAGGAAAGGTTTATTTTAGTTCACAGTTTGTAGAGGTTTTAGTCTGTAGTCAGCTGGCTCCAAGGCACGGTGGCCTGGCAGAGGGCATCGCAGGGGAGAAACAGTCAGTGGCAGGCAGGCAAGAGATAGGGAAGCAGCAAGCAGCAGCGGCGGCAGCAGCAGCAAACCTTCCTTCTCTGCGTTTATATTCCGGCCAGGATATAAGCTTATGGATTGTTGCCACCCGTACCCAGGGTGGACCTTCCATTACCACACCCAGAACTATGCTAAGCCCATTTAGTTATCACTCACTTAATCCCAGTACCACACACCTGAGATATAACCATCTCCCAAAACCCCACCTGTAATGCATGAGGCTTTGTGGGGACATCTACATGTACGCCATAAGAGCTGCCATGGGCATCGGCTCTTCCTTGGGGCCTCCTGAGAGAGGAGTGTCTTCATGCCCTGCCCTGAAGTCAGTCTCTGCTTCCCCTCCTCTTGTTTCTTCTCTACTCCAGTTGAATATCCCTTTTTGAGAATGCTCGGGATTGGAAGTGTTTCAGATTTGGGAATTTTTTGAGATTTTGAAATATTTGCATGTATATAATGAGATATACAGTGGTGCCTCGGTTCATGAACTTAATTTGTTCCGTGATTTTGGAAAAGGTGGCCACATTTATGTTCGTGTGGGAAAGATAGCCTGGGTCATGTTTGTCACCTGATTTGGTTTGCAAATAAAAACAAAATTTTGCCGAACTCTTTTGTTTGTGAACCAAATGTTTTGCAAACAAAGGAGTTCGTGAATTGAGCTACCACTCTGTCTTGGGGTTGGAACCCAAGTCTGTTTCATATATATATATATATCTTATACACATAGCCTGAAGGTAATTTTATAGCACATTTTTAATAATTCTGTGTGTAAAGCAAAGCTTGTGCACATTGGGCCACCAGAGGACAAATATGGAATTTTCCACTAGTGACATCCTGTCTGTGATCAGAAAGTTTCAGGTGTTAGAACATTTCCAATTTCCGATTTCTGGATTAGAAACGCTCAGCCTGAACAATGTGTATCATCTTTAATTTTCAGTCCCAAGGAGAAAGAAGCTATAGTCCCTCTTCCCGCGAGTCAGGCCGAGGTGCAATAGGTGCAGGGCTGGTGGTGACCTTCGGCACTCTGCAAGTGTCGCGGCGCCTCAGGCATTAGCTGTAGGACTCTGCAGCTGGGCTAAGTGGCTCTGGGCTGTGGGTTGGATGCATCTGCTCTTATTTTCTCTGCACTGACCAGCTAACAGGCTTCTCTGCTTTTCTTTCTATGACAGTAGCAGAGGAGTGGGAGGGCTGAGCAGAAGCTAGACCAGCTCAGAATTATCCATAAACCATTAGCCAAAGCAAGTCATTGGCCAGACCCCCAGCTCAGGGGAGGAGATGGCCAGCCAGCTCTGTGGAAAGAGCACAGCGTGGGGGAGGATGAAGAATGGGGATGAATAATTCAGCTTTCCAGAAGCACGACGGCTGACCTGTAAGCTGCCAGGATTAGGGAAAATGGACCAGCAGGAGAAGAACTGCAGGAGAGCTCATTAACAAAAAGACAAACTAAAACAACACAGTAATATAGAGGGAAAGGAAGATGAGAATAGGAAAAATGTGAGCGATTTCAACATTCAGTTCAGAATCTGATCTTTGTGGAATGGAAATCTCAGAAACTGTTAATGACTTGCATGCGGCAGGATCAGTAAGTCAGTAAACTTAGTTGAAGCAAAACATTGATCTGTACATCTTTAGCTTTGGGCCCACTGGTCTGAGTCACTGTAGAAATGGAGCCTAATCCAGATATTCAAGTGTTTCTAGGATTTAGGCCATGTCTAATTCTTTATGTCTGGGCCATTTTGAATATGAGAAATACTTCAAATAGGAAACAAAGCCTATTAAATAGGGAAGGGTGAAGTGGGTGAAGGGAGGACAGGGGAATGGGGAAAAATAAGAACCAAGACACATCATGTAAAGGTACAAGATCCCAATGATAAATGTAACCGTATTGTTTGCTTTAAATGTACCAGTAAACTTAATGGGGGGAAAAAAAAAAGAAATACTTCAAATAAAGGATGGAACTTTACACTTAGATATGTGTCTGTTTCCCTAGAAATCCTCAAGAATAAAGAACATAGTCACCTGCTAATTTCCAAGATTCTTTATAAAACCAGGAGATCTAAAGAAGTTACAGGTTTACAAAAACAATTTTCCCTTCCTTCTTTCCCTACCGTGTGTGTGTGTGTGTGTGTGTGTGTGTGTGTGTGTATTTTTGCTTTTTTGTTTTGCTATACTGAGGATTGAACCCAGGGGTTTGTACTGAACTACATCCTCAGCTCTCTTAATTTGGATACAGAGTCTCACTAAGTTGCCCAGCTGGGCTTGAACTTGTGATTCTCCTTCCTTAGCCTTCCAGGGTGCTGGGGTGCCAGGCATGCATCAGTAGTCCTAATTGAAAGACATGTTTTCTTCCAA